TATATATAGCTGAGTGATTTCACTACTTGGCAAGCGGGGTGGGGTCTGAGCCAGCCATCTCCCAAAAAATAAATAGATAAATAATGTCACGTTGGATTAAAAGCTACTGTAAGGGTTATGCATTTTTTAACACAAAGCTGCAGAGCCAAAGACAAATAAAATAAACACACACACATATATATGTGTAATATATATATATATATATATATATATATATATATATATATATATATATACAGTACAGTGTTTTATTCATTGAGCTTGATGTACCTCTTAGAGTTTACCGATAATTAAAAGCGGACTTGTTTACCATCTTATTTAGGCAGGTTACACAGGATGACTGGGCTACTAGTGCGTCTCATCAGAAAATCATTTTGGTGTTTAAATAATTGACTCAGCCTAAAACACTGTTGCTGTCTAAATGATCAGTAACAATCTCTTTGCTTTTGTAGTTTCAATAGAGCATTGACTTACTGCTGTGATTCCCCTGGCTTGCACGACATGTGCGGGTATAGACAATGAATCAACACCCTCCTGGCCAATCAGTTTTGAGAATTCAGCAGCACCATGGTAAAATGTAATTTATTAAGCCAATCCTGGTATGCTTAATCTGTGATGGCCTGGCTTCCCATGCCCCCCACCACATACCCCCTGCTTGCCAAGGTGCCCCCCCAGGTGGAAGGTGGATGTTCAACTTCTCTGGTGAGTAACCTAGTCAGTCTTTTTCCAGATAGATATTCATCTGTACACATTGGTGCTGAAACAGGAATTCAATATGCTGGGAGGTAACACCTTAAATTTCAAGGGGAATTTAATTTCAAAAATACTCCGCAGGCATCAGATTCGTCCGTCCAGATGAGCCCTGTTTTGGGGATAGTCCCAGAATGTGTCTTAAGTCGTTTTTCTTGGTCTGAGGCAGGAATTTTCCTCAGCAAGAAGGGTGCTCCACTCCATGTTAATACGGACCCAGACCATGTCAGAATACCGCCGCATAGGAGGTGCCGCGTATCGCGTGTCCGCGCTAGCTGTAACATGCAGGCTGACTTCCAACGAAAAGACATCAAAAACGGGCACGTCAGTCACCAGGCATCAGTCAGGGCCAAGGACGCTCACCCACCGCCACGGTGAGAGTTACACCCGACACAAAAACCGCTGAAGGAGCCAACCTTGTTAATCCTGTATGGTCCACGCAGCCTTAATCCAAAGTCTATTAAAATAAGAAAAACATAATAGCTGGTCATTCCACCTAAAAATTTGCTTCGCTACAAAATTTCACCAAATGACTCAATTAGCTAAAGGCTTTTTAACGGGCCATGTGGAGAATTTATTAACGCATTAGGAAAAATAAACACTAAATGCATCGGTACTTTTCCAAGACGTTTGCCTGAAACAGATAAAAATATCACCATAAATATTTCATTAATAGGCCAACAGCATTTTATGAATTTTTAAATGACCTGTTTATGTGTTTTGATCACCTATCTGTCCTGCCGCCAATGAGCGGCGGGTGAACCTACCAAATAAACAGCGAGAGAGCCAGCACACAGTGTCATGGGCAAAATGAAGAAAGTCTACTTGACTTCATAAGTGAACAGAGTCATAATTCATGTTGCTCGTTTGTTTGGAAGCCAAGTGTGCGGTCGTTACGACTGTCGCTAAGGAAGTGAGGGCCACTTTCTCAAGCACTGTCAGAACAAACCAGCTGTTCACAGAGGCCACGCAGCAATCCGCTGTGATGTCCCAACACCGGCATACTAAACGCCTGTCTCTAAATCACACACGCAATTATGAATAATACAGCAAGGGGCGCCTTGGTTAAGGACTTAAAGTTGATCCCTTGAAGTTGCCATCTTCACATCCTGGGAGACATCCCACTGTTGGACTTTCGAATAAATTGTTTAGATTAAATTGCCCTGGAGACTACATATTGCATTTTGCTGCAAATTAAGTAATAAGGTATTATTTTATACCTCGGCCGACGTGGCCGACGACAGAACGAGCTACTTTACCAAAATAGTTTCCGGAAAAGCATACAGCAGTATGATGGTGCGGAATGAAAGTTACTCAGCAAAACAACATGAGATCACATTTATGAAACAAATATAGGCGTTTTTGTAAAGATTCAGTATAGGTAAAGTCCATAGTTTGAAAAATAATTACACAACAATAACGAGATCATAGATGTATTTGGTCATTCAGTTGTGAATTCCATCTGCTGCCTTACCTAACTGAGTCTGATCCGCTTGGTTTCATTACAGATTAACTGGTGTTTCTACACAGGGTATGGCAGCATGTGAGCATGTGTGCCATCTTATGCTTCGGGCCCCCCTGCCACCCCAATCAGGATTAGCTAATGGAAGATAGATAGAAGATGGATGGATGGAGGCACACCAACTGTACCTCTACGATGACATCTAGTGGTCTGACAGGGATGTACACAGAGCTTATTTTTCCCAAAGGTCCAAATTTTATTGGTCGCACAAAGCCATGTTTGGGGGGGGGGGAAGGGGGGATTCCCTTTGGGAGATTTCTTTGACAGGAGGGGAGTCCCCCTCGGGAATTTTCTATGACCACCCCCCTCTGTAAATTTTGCCCACTGGGAGGGCATGAGTTTCAGTCCGGATGCAGACCAAAATCGGCCATTTGAAGACCCCAGCATCACACAAATGAGATACAGGTTTGGCCACAGCAGCAGAGATTTCCTGATGGCAGATAGCTGGAGGGGGGGGGGGGGGTGACACAGGGGACAGTGCCGCAGACATGCTGAGGGACTCACATGGGGTCCAGAGTTTGGGCACGAGCTGCTATGGTTCGGCCAAGTAACATGGCAGTCATCAAGGGAGCTGGCAAGCAAGGGGGTCGCCATGGGAACCAGGGCACTGTGGTCCACTGAGAAAAACAATGACAACCTTAACCCCTACCCAACCCTAACCTTACTATAAGTAACCAAACAAAACACAAGACTTTTGGCATTTTTCGTTTTTTTTTTTATTGCAGTCACAGATTTTTATAAAACTGACTTTTATAACTTTTATAAACTGACTTTCCCTTTGTATGGTCTGAAAAAATGGTCACCACAATGTCAAAATAACATGTTTTTATCACATTGCGGGGACAAAATCCACACACACACATCTCAGATTAGAATATCTGTGAAGTTAATACCCCATAATTGTCATCAATGACCAAAATAAGCGAGGGGATGTTTAGAAACATCAACAAACCATTAGAATAAATCTTCAAGGGTGCTTTGATTTTAAAATAAGCAGAAGACCTTGGAAACATTTTAACTTACTACCGTGTAATAAAACACCACCACCATGCTTCACAGCAAATATAATTTTAATGAAATCTCTCGACAACAAAACTTGATCCGTGTAAAACTGTGGCGAACGTTAAAAATAGAGAGAACAGTCTTCTGATCATTTCCGTAACAAGACTTACAACAATGAAGGACTGGAGAAACATTTATTCAGTGTAAAAGTCAAATGTACACAAAGTGTAAAATGTCAGATAAAGTACGTTTATCGAAGTTGGCTGTAATATAGACATGTCGAACTGACCTCAGATAACCTGGTAAGAAGTAACGCCAGAGTGATGAAAACTCACTGCAGTTTTAGTTTGTTGTTCTTTTTGTATCGTTAAGTTTCACAGTTAAACAATATTACAGACCGTCCTTGTTTCACTAGATGTAAATGTACTTTTTTTTAAGTGAAAAAATAAGTCTTCTGCTGCAGGCCTGCTGAGATGGAGTACAGGAACAGAGAGGAGATCAGAGTGGGACTGAAAGTGGGGTGGCACGGTGCTGTGTGTACCTGTCACTGGCGTGGCCCAGAGCAGCGGCCCCTGAGCAGCGGCCCCTGAGCAGCGGCCCCAGAGCAGCGGCCCCTGAGCAGCGGCCCCTGAGCAGCGGCCCCAGAGCAGCGGCCCCTGAGCAGCGGCCCCAGAGCAGCGGCCCCAGAATGCTGTCTCCCTTCCAGAGGTAGGTGCCGCCCTTCTGCCAGTCAATGACTCCCATGACTCCTGACCCCCATAAAACGAAAGGACAAACTCTCTTGTTGACATTTTCTGACCCCCCCAATCACCTTCCACATACCTCTATGAAAAACTGAGCTATAGCCAAGCCATACTGTGCACTGGTGGCTCTCATTGTAAATTATGTGAGCTGCACCCGACCCACAGTGTGACCAAACCACCATTTGATTGGCCGAAATGCACGGAAATACCAGTGTCTTACATTAATATGCATGGATTATTCAAAGGAAAAAAAGGCTATATTCTAAGTATATTATTCATTATTAGTAGTTTCGCGACTTGTGATGCATTCATGGTAACCTGGAACTTGCAAATTTCCAACCACCTGCTTAAAAAATTACTATAGAACAGCTGAACAGAATGGATTTGTAATGCAACTGAATGCTAATCCTGCTAACATTTGATGCTAACATGATACGACGATTCTCACAGACTTGCTAGCAAAAATTAGCACACAGTAAATCATAATGTATAGAGTATAATAGTGGAAAAGCACTAGTAGTGACACCTGGTGGGTTAGTGATGGTTTAGAAGCTTCAGGGGCCCTTGGGAGCCAGTAGAATATCCAGAGCTTATGGCATTGCCTAATATAGCCTGATTAGCTCATTCTGCTGTGACAAAAGTTTCAATCTGTAACCCGTAAATCTGCATCACTGGTTATAGTCAGGGGACTTTTGTTAAGCAAATAAAATGTGTGATTTAACATAGCACACATGATTCAGCCGGACTGGCATTTAAAGGGTTGCTCCTACCGTTTCAGGGTGGCCGGCCGGCAGGGAATGTGACTGGCAACACGGGGCTCTGCCCAAACGGAAAAACAAATATGAAAGAGGTGTTTGGTATTGGTGCGGGGGGGGGGGCGTTATCTAGGGGCCGCATCACATAAACAGGACCCTCTTCTGAGGCATAGTGCCTTCCCCAGAACCACCCTCCATGCCCCCACCCCCCACCCTGATAATCTGCACACGAGAGCTGCATTCTTTCACACGATGGGACATCCTGATAACGGCTTTCCATTTCCCTCCCTGCCCCGAGGCCTCTGCTCCTGGGAAGGGAAACCTGCTCTCTATTTATGCCACTTTAAAATGCTTAAAGACGTGTCCAGAGAGCGCCCCCTGTCTGCACCTTGGTGTCTGGCATGTAATCAGGCGCTAGGACGTCTCGTGAGGAGGTCCCTCGCTGCCTCCTCTGCCTCAAGTTGCGGAGGACCTCTGGCTTTTTCTCTAAAAGCATGTCGCCCCCCCGTGCATCCACTGCCTCGTCCGAGTCCAGCTCGCCATCTGTGCTCGGACCGTCTCCGGCCTCTGGCTTTCCAGGGGCCTGGAAATGGACTCTCTTGGCTCCAGTTTTTGATTTCATCCAGTCCTGCAGCAATTAAATAATTTACCTAATTAATAATCAACTATGCAAAGAGATAAATAACTCCCACACTCAGCATTTCCTGGCTTCCCAGGTCGTCTCTCTCACCATAGGGTCAGCAAACCGGGGTGGAAAACTGCAGGAGATCTGCATTACTGTCACGTGGGGAGATTTTGCCCTAAAATCCAGTAGGGAAAATGTTACAAAAAATATGCACATCAGAAGCTACCAACCCACTGATTATCACCTCATGCTGAAATTTCTGCGTGATTTAGAACATCTGACAAACTATATAATATACATAACATTTCATGTATACTACACTGAAAGCTACTATAATACACTGATTACTAAGGTAGGTAAGGAGCTTGCACTGATTTCAATGTGTTGCCACACCCACCACACGACAAACCACCTCAGGGATGGGAACCTGAGTGCAGCCATGTGGCGGGTGATACCTCAGCACCACACTAGTCCGAAACGTTTTTTTTCCAGTAGCTGATGTGCCAATCCTGCCACCAACCCCCAAGTTATTCCCAGTAAGTTGGAGGACCTCCTTATAGGGCTGGATGTAGATTAACGTCATATACAGGAATGAGCAACTGCAGGTTAAGGGCCTTGTTCAAGGGCCCAACGGAGTAGAATCACTCTTGGCATTCACAGGATTTGAACCAGCAACCTTCCAGTTGCGGGTACAGATCCCTAGTCTCAGAGCTACCACTCCGTCCCACTGATTAATATACTACACTGAATACTTTAACACTACATAGAAAGGTACTATACTACAATGAATACTACAGTAGACTGAATACTACTATATTACACTGAAAGCTACTGTAACCCTTCCTTATTCTTATGTTCTTATTCTCAGATCTGCAGTAGCAAAACTACATTTTCATACCATCTTCATATCTCCAGCCAGCACATGCAATGGCTGGAAACACAGTTTGCAAGAGAAACCATCACTCAGTAGAGTAAGAAAACGGGCGAGTGGCCTACAGGCGGCCTACACACGAGCTCCACTGCAGGGGCTTGTGGGTGATGTGCTGGGAGCTGGGGACCCAGATCATTACAGGGGCCGGGCAGGGCTCCAGGGGCTGGATGTAGGCCTGGCTCAGCTGCGAGGGGAACAGGTGCCAGGGGCGAGAACAACAGGAAAGAAAGCAGGCAGAGGAAGATTCACAACTACTCAGGCAGACACTTAATCATCAGGCTGCCCCATCGTTCCTGGCAATAGACGGCACAATATCCAAAAGTCTTGGCTGATCAGCTGGCTTCTGTTGCTGATCGATAAGGTTTTATTTCCTTTAAGCCTCTGTCTAGCTGATTAGGCCCAGAGTTAATATCAAAGCCACGGCCAGGATGGTGTGGGCATTCACAGAGCGGTCAAAGGGGCGGGAACCTTTATGGTCTTGCTGTCCTTGCTGCTGGCGGGGCGCACAGCAGGAGGCGAAGAGACAAGCTTCGGGAAATGGACGTTGGCCAAGCCGCAGGGGACCGGCTGCAGAATAGCGCTGAAAGAAACGGTAAACACTGTCACTCTGCAGCTGCCAGCATAGACGACTCACACATCCCTAAACAAGCAGAAGCATTAATCCCTATGCTACTCAAAAGCTTATTTTACAGCAGGAATATATTTAACAACGTATGGAGAGTTTAATGTGCTCATGTAACACTTTTGTTCTATGATAATATAACTGGGAAATAAAATAGAGGTATTGATGAAAAAATTAACTATGCATGTGGTGAAGCGTATGGTACACAAGATTAAGGTACATGAAAATGTCAACAGAAGATCCAAGCTAGTTATGGGTTGATCTTGTTTAATGTTTTGGGATCTTTAACCTGATTCTTTTTACCTGTCTAAGCTAGTACAAGGGTGCTGGATCTTGGTGGAGACCTTTTCTGAGATAAACCTCTTCTGCGTGACTTTGCCTGCGGGGACCATGTCCAATTCAGACCACTCAGACACATTCACAACGTTCAAGGCTGGGAGCTCATCTGGGAGACACAAGATAAGGAGTCAGCTCTCACAAAGAACCAGGAAAAGGTCAAAGGGAGCTCAGGAACGTTCCATCAAAGTCCAACAAATTATTCAGCTGCACTGTGTACAAATGCCATGGAGAACGGCATACCTTCCCGGCTAACTTGGGTTCTTGTGGATGTTCTGATGTTGGCATATCGAAGGTTGCCTCTAGCCATTCGCTGCACAGTTTCCCAGCAACAAAGATGTTGGCACAAGGCCCAAAGACAGTGGGGCTCATCCAGAAGCTTGCTGGGGCGATGGTCCATACAGAGTGGGTTCTGTTATGGTCGATCGGCATGGAACGGGGAAACAGGAGCAGGAGTCACAAAATCGGGTGAACAAGGGGTTTAATTGAAGAACGCACACTGGAACACATCACAATGTCAATGAACGAACTGAGGAAACATACGTGGACTTAAATACACAGGAATAATTAACAACGAGAAACAGCTGGTAACATGGGGATTCCACACAAGGTAGTGAGGGGGCGTGGCACACAGGAGGACTGGACGAGCAGGGCATGAAAGGGTTCTGTTTAATGAAGACTTTCACTTAATCAGACTTTAACTAGAGACACTAAGCAGCCAAAGAAAACAAAACCAATTCAAAATAAACATCTACACGAGGGGTATCCATTAACATGGGATTAATGATGATGATGATGATGATGATGAAAACCCTTTATTGCTGTTGCAATGCACCATGTCACTAGTCACAAGTACCAGCGAAAAGCAGGTCATCATATACACACATCACATTATAGGGGGTAGACAGGTCAGGAAGACAGGGGATATAGGAAGAACAGAGAAAACAGAATTACATGAGGAGAGAGGAGGAGAAAAAAAAAAACAGCCCCCAGACTGTACTCCATTAGGGAGTACAATGTAGGAACAGAAAAAAACACCTCAGCAACATAAGCACATAGTCACCACATCTTACAACATAAAAAGTCGTGACTTGCAACAGGGGAGGGAATGGGGAGGTGGAGGTAGTCCAGCATAGACAAACAGCCACTCGGTCCTGCAGCCATAGAGGCGCTGGTCACAGACCCGCCTGTTCACGCTGGGGGTATGAAGCGGCGAAGGTGTGGGATGGGGGGAGGGAGTCCTTGGGCTTGGGGGAGAGGAATGCAAGAGAGTCTCACTGCCTTGTTCTTCTGGGGGAGTTGTCGAATTCAGCAGCGACCTTGGCCAAGGCCAGTGCTGATTATGGGGGAGCCAAAAGCAGATAGAATAGGGTTGTTCGGGCTTTCGGGCAGGAAGCTATAATTTCGCAGCTCCTCTAATGTCCACGCTGGTCTCCGCCATCCAAAATTCTTTGCAGAGCTGTGAGCTTCTCCGTGATGTTATCAAATCTGCGGTCAATAGTCACAGTGATGTTATCCAATTTGCGATCTATAGCCATAGTCTGAGCGCCAACAGCTCTGCCAAGTCCGTCAATCATCCCGGCCAGCCTAGTGGGGCTTTGAGCGGCTGTCACAGTTTTCTTAAATTTCCGATAAACCAGGGCAATGCCTAATCCAATCAGCATAAGACCTGTAATCATGGTCCCGAATAGGTAAATATCTTCGATGTCCTCCACGGACAGAGCTGCCAGACACACGACCCTCCACTTCTCCCATCCGTCCATCATGTAGCCAGCTGCGTACGTTCCTGCAGGACACTCAGGTTCCCCCAAACCTGGGCTTCTCGTAGAGAAGATGGTGTCAGTTGCGTTGAGAGACCAGTTGATCAAATCCATGATTTTCTTGGTTTTGAAGAGCAGGGCTGAGAGAGTCTCTCAAGTATAGACAGTAAGACAGTAGACTGGACGAGACGAGAGGAGCAAAGCAGGGAAGATAAGGGGAGGGAGAGGGAGAGAAGTGCGTCCTCCTCCTCTGAGAGCCAAAGAGCATAAAGTTCATCTTGTGACGAATTTGATCTGGAGAGCCGATCTGCTATTATGGACTCGGGGCATGGTGCAGGCGGGAAAAGAAGGTGACAATCAACTTGCGGCTCTAAGAGACAACAGGGGTTTATTGGGGGGAACCAAAACATACACTGGGAACAAATCACAAAAATAAAAGAACCATGAGGGGTCAGAAACCCAACAGGGGAAAAAATAAGGAATTAACTAAAAACCATAGAATAATCACAACTACAGAACACCGGGAACAGAACTGGACAAGTAGGGTATCAAAAACACAGTAACATTCACACAGAGAGCAACGTCTCATAATGACTAACTAGGGAAATCAACAAAGGTCGGCACTTAAATACATAGGACTAACAGGCCATGACTCAGGACAGGTGAAAACCATAAAACGGGAAACTAAGGAAACTTTACTAAACACAGAGGCTAATACTAGGACAAAAGTAGGAACACAAGTACAAGAAGAGCAAAATAAAATAGGGTACAAGTAGAGTAAATCAAAACAGGGACAAAGACTTCTGAGCCACTCACTCAGCCCATTAAGCTATGACAACCCAGGGAGTAGAGAAAAACATTAGGGACTAGGGTTACATGACAGAAGGAACAGGATGGCCAGCGACACCTGCTGACCAAATGGGGACAAACACATAGGACAGGGATGGACCAGCACCGACCCTGAAATCTGCATATTAATTAGGCATCACTGAAATATAGACTGAATTATTATTATTACAGATACTCATTTAACGATCTACCTGTTTTACAACCGCCTGGACTTACGACCAGCTCTCCGACCTGTTGGTATTATACACTATACGAAAACTTGGGCCTTTCTATTCTGCTCTCTGATTAATTTGGATCCATAGAGGAATTTTGTATATTGTTTGCAGTTATTGACCTTTATTATGATATGCCATATGAGTGTACACTGAACTCGCAGTCCGTTGCCTTTAGTTTGATGCATATGCTTTGTATTGGATAGGGAACCTCCAGCAGCGCGTAAAGCACGGATGTGCGCAAGGTTTAAGTTTCCCTGTCATACTTTTACGCCTTCGAAAGCAATGGCTGTAAGTGTTTTACTTGTTTCATATCTTAATTAATATGTACAAGTGACATTTATTTTTTATGCGCTGTTTTAGTTCACTAATGTGCAAAAGGACACTAACATGCCTACATGTTAGCGTATCCTTTTTTTGTAATTCCGTTGATGATTAACGTTAGCACTTATTGGCCAGCTTCTTGTAACGTTGCTGTTCTAGATAAGACATCTCCCAAGTCTTTTCCGTGTTTCGTTTATTACAGTTTCACTCATAGTTTTTCACCTGTCAAAGGGAGAAAACACGTATCGGGAACAGCATACTTCTTATTACAGTATACGGTACAATACTGTATAAACATGTATAAATATACTGAAAATACCACTACAGTATACTTGAAATATGGGCTTATATAGCGACCAATTCACTTAAGGACCTAGTCGTAACTTGGTTGTAATGTGCTGAGTGTTTGTATTGTGGTAATATGATTATAAGCGCATGAGTTTGTATGGCAAATGAAAGATCTCAAACACAGTTACAAATACGGCCGATCGCAATTATCTATGTAGATACTTAAATGACTTATTTTTTCCCTTGCCATTAACCAACGAAATCTCTATTAATTCCAGCTAGGCCATTTAATATGCCCGCTGTTTGCATTAATTATCCAAGCAGCGCACATGCATCAAATAGCCTACCGAATGAAACACCCAGATCATTATTTCACAACAGTCGCATAAACACACAGTAATTAAAATGCTGATTTGAAGTTTTAAAAAAAAGGATTAAATAAGCTGTGTAAATATTGTTTTGGCTTTTTAAAGGTGGGACAAGATGAGAAGAGATCAGGGAAAATATCAAGCTACTATAAAAATCAAGCAGCCCAAAAATGCATACATTTTGTTAGAACACATTACCTCATTCGCCATAGGGAGCGGGTGAACAAACTAGAGGTGACAGCACGTGCAGCTGCATCTGGTCGTGAGTAACTTCGTTGCCGGGCAACCGGACGCTTTAGCAAAAGGCGGCTCGTGTGTCGGAATTTCCCATTTTTCAGGGAACATTGTCTTTTATGACGGTGATTCAAATTATCTTCTTTTCTGGTTGACGTTTGACCTGGCGAAATGCAAAAGGTGACGGTTAACTACATTTCTGTTTCTGATGAAAATTTCGCTGAAGCTAATCTCTCGTTAAATTAAATAGTTTTATCTTGATTCTGGAGTGACATCTGAAAATCTTAATAGAATGTTAACTCGACTTAATGTGAGCGATACTATTACTGAGAAGCGGGATAACCATTTAATCGATCATTAGGTATGGCAGTGCAACCGGAGAGGTTTACAGTGTTGTCATCGCACTCATTATTCCCACTTATGTTAACCAGTTAGTTAGCGGGACAGGGTTAGTTAGAAGCTAATGATCAGGCAGAAGAGTGTATGGCATTGTATCTCCAGTGAACCTATCCAAACAGATGTCATAGTGACATCAATCTCACAGTGTCCCGAGGAAACGTGACACAATCGGCTATGACGTCTGAACTTTCAGAGCTGTCTGGGCTCCTGTGATGTACTGGACGGACACAGGAGGCAGACCCCGAAGTGCAGTAGCCAAAGGGTTTATTGAAAGATCCGAGAACAGCCAAAAATCAGGAGGGGAATCCAAAAGAATAGTCGAGGTACGGGCAGAAGTCGGGCACCTTGAATATTGAATTGTCAATTGCAAAATGAATTGCCATTTGAATTTTTGTGCTTATAATCTTCCATAGGAATGACGGTCACTGCGGCGCAGTGGATTACAGATTTCGATCTGGATCAGGGATTTGTCACGTGTTCCGGCCTAAACCAATAGCAGCAGTGGGCTCACAATATAAAACTTTATATTTTTTTCATTTTGAGATGTTTCCTGAGGTATGAATGCATTAAATCCAAAACTAATTTCCCGCAATATTTACATGGCACTAAGTGCTTCAAGATTACATTAGCCAGTTGGTTTACACATAATCTAAACAATTCTATAACGTTAGCTTACCCTCGCCCATTCATTTGCGTTCTCGATGCTATCTGTATACCCAGATACAGGGACGAAGTGCAGTTAGGGACAAAAACCGAGAACCTAGAATATATGAATGATGAGGAGCAGGCAGGGAAGGAAGAAGATGAGGGTTAAAGAAGACAAAAGGTGTCCTCCAGCAGCTATCAGCAGACATGTCAAGAGAAGACACTGGATGGTCACTGGTTGTGTATTCCTCAGATAGAACAGGGTTGAGGATCTAATTTAAAAGTAAACCTCAGGCCTCCACATCACCCTGACTCGGACAAGTGGTAGGAAGATGGGTGGATGGATGGAAAATAGAAGTCTGCTACATTTATACTTAGTTCTATGTTATAATAAAGTGGGTTTCAAAAAGTCTAGATACAAGTTCTACATTTCTTGTTAAGTTTAGCAGACGGCTCCATGATTCTGATCATCCCGTCCTTCAGCGGCTCCTTGATGGTGAAGAAACCCCATCGATCACCGGGATGCATACACGCTAATATATCGACATAGAGCACCATCTAATGTTCACGTTAGGAACTGAAAATCAGAAAACATGTAGGTCTTACCGCTCGTCACGTTTCGCGGACGCTCGGATTGACGGTGGACCTTCCAGCTGCCGTTTGACCAATTTTGGGCATTTCAGGTCCAGAAGCTACAAATCCAGAACAAGACTTTTTGACTTGGTGATGCCATGACTCACCTTATTGTGCGTTAATTGCACCATAGGTGTGGTATTAGGACGGGTGTGTCTGTCCGTCCGTCTGACCATCCATCCATCAACAGTCCGACCTAGTCCGACAGAATGATAAACCTCTCGCTTGTATTTCTTAAACAGGCTGCCTCAATCGCCAAGCTGAACTCTATTAGTGCAGAAGGGCTGGGTCACTCAGCTGTCTCTTCGAGTCTGCATTACGCACTTTTTTTTGGTTTCACTTAAAGAGGCCTAACTTCCATTTTACGTAGCTGTTGGTGGTCACATAACCCTTAAGAGCACTTAGGACAAGGAACTGAACGTGTTTAGAAAGAGCAGAATGTTTCTGACATGTTTATTTTATCTGACACTGTTTAGGCTAGTGGGGCGGACAGAATGTTTCAGTGGCATATTATCTGATTTGGGTGGTCAACCATTATGAGGTATGTTGGACCCCTGAATTTCTCCATGCTGAAATGGCATTAAAATGTTGTCACATATACCAGCAAAAAACACACACCTGTGATCTACGAGACCTACAATGTTATTTGACGAGATTAGATAGTATGTACGGATAGTGGCATTGTCTAAAAAAATCTTAGTAAAACAGAAATGGTACATTTTAATTGATGTCTGTCCTGTAAGGTTATGCACTTGTAGTAATTAGCTCTGTGTGGCTTAACACTGTTGTGCTTGTTGGCTCTTGATGAATTATATAAATTATAATTATAAATCTCAAAACTGACATTAGGTTTGTTCAGTGACAACTGCCATCCTATGGGTTTGCTCCCATGCGAAGTGACAAAAATACTTACCAGGCTGCTGACTTACGATAGACACGGAAATCACTGGTTCATAAGAACAGAACTTAGAATGAACATTTGAATATTATGGGGCAGCACACCCGCATATCATCTGCTGTAGGCTTGATTTCAATACTGGTACAGACCAGATCAGGCCTGAACCCCCCAGCCCCCTAAACACACACAGTACTCTGTCCCTACCATCAATACCCAAACCTACGTCCATGCCTTAACCAAATCGTGGATTTGGAGAATCATTACACCCCCAGCTAGCATGAGTAACACTAAGGAGCCTGGTTAGCATGTGGGGAGTCAAAACAATAAAACACCAGGATTGCATGAATTAGAGAAAACATTTTATTAATCTGTAATAATTCATCATTCTATGTTAGAGAAGTTTGGTAGCAGAGTGAGGTCACGAGAGGCCAAAAATAACCTCTGAATGGTAACACAGAATGATTTTCTTGGACGTTGAAATTTGTAGTTTAGCGTTATCCAGTTCTCGTTTGTGGAAAACAACTGACAACCGTTAATTATACGAGAGACATTCAGTTCAAACATGTTCTGGAGAAGTTTAAGAAATCCGAGGCTATGAAGATTTTGTTGCACCACTAAAACGTACATGTTTGCCATTAAGGCCAAATAAGTCCACTGTCCACCCACCAGAGCACAGCAGACTGCGGAGGTCAGCACACAGTCTGATAGGCTGGTTCACCAGCAGGGGGCGTGTCCCTGCCTGTGAGAGAGAGGCATAGGCAGGGAAACTGACTGGAGCAAAATATTGCCTCATCGCCAGAGATAGATCTGAGGCTCTTACAGTGTCATTATATTTCCTGCTCTTTGCAGGACGGAAAGGATCACGCCTGGCGAGAAGCGGGACTGCCCCAATGACCCGTGACCCATCACACGCACACGCACACGCACACGCACATGCACGCACTCATACTGCCATCAGCCTAGCCAATCCAGGTCATCGTCGTCGTCGTCGTCATCACCGAATAGGGGGGCTGGAGGCGGGCGGCCCTTCAGGCTCTGTGAATGCACGATAAATAAGTCAATCAGTCAACACTGACCAAACACTGGGAGCCAAAGCAAAAAGGTGGGCTTACGGAGCCACAATCTGACACATAGTGTCAGCACAGGGGGCATGAAGGTGAAATCTGAGAGTCCGGGGCGGGGGCTCTGCAGATCCTTCCTCACCAGCTCATCATCCTCCTCCTCCGTGGGTGGTGGGGGGGGTTTGGTTGGGGCTGCTTTCTGGAAAAATGGCCCTGCTCCATTTTCCTCCTCTACTCCCTCAGACGAACTGAGAGAATAGGACACCAGGATGGGGGGTGCAGGGTAGGAGTACAAGGCAGAGAAAAAAAAAGACAGATAGGTGGGGGTCAGCACAGAGAAGGGAGGCTCAGTGGATGGGCACCGTCAGACCCGTTTGGGCGGGCAATGTCAGACCCGTTAAACGCACACAGTGGGCTGCATCCGGACTCACCTGACAGTTTCGCCCATTTCACCCCGCAGAGGGTCGGGGGGTGGTGGTGGTCGTGTGGGGGGTCCAGTAGGGGCTGACTCTGTTACCTGGGGCTCCCCTTGTGGACCCCCACCATCCACACCTAGATCCACAACCTCAGCCTGGGCCTCTGCTTCCAGATCTGAGCTCAGAGGTTGGACATGGTTTGCTGCTGTGGCCTCAGGCTGGTTGTCCGCTGTAGATGGAGCAAATGCCATTTCTGCAGGTCTCACTTCCGGGGCCAGCTCCCCCTTAGGGTCCCCCTTCATTTCCTGTTTCTTGGTAGTAGTTACTTCCTGCTGACCCACTTCCTGCTTCTCTGCAGTGGTCACTTCCTGTTGACTTACTTCCTGCTGTCCAACTTCTTGTTTCTCTGCAGTGGTCACTTCCTGTTGACTTACTTCCTGCTGACCCACTTCCTGCTTCTCCGCAGTGGTCACTTCCTGTTGACATACTTCCTGCTGATCCACTTCCTCCCTGGCCTGGAGGCCCACATAGGTCTGCACGCTGTTCTCCTCCTGTAGTGCTGGCTTCTCCTCCTCTACCTCCTCCATCTTTCCATTAGACTGCACTTCTTGTGAAGGCTTCTCCTCCCCCGGTCCTGCCTCCTCTTCCTCATCTTCCTCCTCCTCGTCGTTTTCGTTCTTCTGAGATGCCTCAGTCAGCAGTTGCAGGGTTACCCTCTGGAAGCAGTGGCAGAGAAAATAAATGACTACAGGACGAATAAATAAGCAAAACAAACATTAAGGGGTCAACCATCATTGCTGCGTCTTCGTCACGCACCTTTATGGTGCTGACGATGACCCCCAGAATGGCGCTGCCCGTGTAGCTCTCCTGCAGGTCAAACTCCCCCCGGAGTGAATGGAACACACCATTCATCACACGTTTCACCTGGAGGGGAAGATCCAGAATGGCATCAGGGCTGGCGCTCGGCATGCTGGGAGTCAACCCTCCTGAGGGCTTCCTGTAACGGCCCTGAGGTCAGGGCACTCAGAACTGCTGGCTTTAAAAACTTTTCCATGGATTCGAACCAACAACCTTCTGGATGTGGGTTAAGATTTCTAACCCAATGAGCTACACATCATCCTGTCCTTAAAACCTATAGCCCCCTTTCCTTTAGGTTGTAATGGATGAAAGCTGACCTCCTCTGGGGTTAGATAACACACCATAAGGTCACACAAGGCCGTAAAGGATCCTGGGGTGAGGTAACACAAGGCTGTAACATATCCTGGCCGGCAGAGGCAGTCTAATAAAGGCGTTATGTTCCTTCCCTAATTACGTTATACTGTTACTTGTTACCACACAGCGTGATTCAGGTGGAAAGAACCAGACATGGTGGCGTTACTGTCATATAAGCCTGTGGTGGTTAGGAACACAGCCCCATAACCTTAAAGTCACGAGAAGAGGCCCTGCAGCTGTACCTTGACTCTGGATAAATGGCTGTGAACCCAGAGATGGTGCCATATAGGCGCCGCTCACCTCCCCTGCAGTGTCTGCCTGGCTCTGCTCGGCCAGCCTGCTCTCCAGTTCAGCTACGTGCGACTTCAGCTGCTGCTTCACGGCCCCCGCCTGCTCCTGCAGGTCCGAGCACTGGGGGGGAGAACCGGCACTCAGAGCTGGCGTCCACTGTCCTCCACCACAGCAGGAGGTGGGCTGGCCCTGGTCCCCAGGTCTCGGCCCCACCTAAGCCCCGGATCGCCTCCCTGTACCTTCTGTCTCAGTGCCTGCAGCTCCTCCCCTTGCTCCTGCTGCTGGAGCAGCCGCTGCTCCTCTGACTCGCGGGACAGCTTCAGCGCAGAGAACTGGGGGAAGGGCAGAACATGGCCTTCACTGAGCTGCACTGTACTGAACCGTCCTGAAGGTGGCATTCTAGTTAAGAAGTGCACTAGTCAGCACAAGGCGTACCACCTGCAGTTCAGACTATGTTGTCCACCTGAAGCTAAGCAGGTTTGGGCCTGGCCAGTACTTGGATGGGAGACCAACTAGGAAAGCTGGGTTGCTGCTGGCAGAGGTGTTGGTGTGGCTAACAGGTTAGTCTATCCTGTGGTCTGTGTGGATCCCAATGCCCCAGTGCAGTAAAGATGGCACTGTATTTCAGATGAGGTGTAAAACTGAGGTTCTGACTCTCTGAGGTCATGAAACTTTCCCTGGGCAACTTTCGAAAGAGTAGGTGTGCTACCCCGATGTCCTGGCTAAAATTGCCCACTGTAGCCCTATCAAATCTGCCCCCTTAATCATCCCCTATATCTAACTGGTGATTTCCCTCCTGCTCCTTCACCACCTAAGCTACTGTGTGTTGAGCGTACTGGTGCAGAATGGCTGCCGTCGCATCATCCAGGAGGTGCTGCCCAGTGGTGGTGGTTGAAGTGCTTTGGGCGTCGTGAAAAGCACTATATACATGCAACATCATTCATAAATGTAACATTTAAGGCAGAAGTGGTTTTAATCCCTGGTGCGGATCTGCTGGTGGAACTTTGAGCAGCTGACATATTAAACTTATACCTCGTTATGCCACTTTTTAATGGAATGTTAAGTAAATTATGTTTTTTTGTGCTTTAAGCAGCGGCCACACATCCTCACCTTCTCCTGCAGCTGAGCCAGCTTCTCCTCCAGCGCCTCCTTCTGCTCCTGTAGCTCCGCCCGTTCGCGCCCATGCCGCTCCCGGGCCGACGCCAGCTCCCGCTCGCACCGCGCCTCCCACTCTGTCTGCAGCTCCGCCTGCAGCTGTGTCAGCTGGGCACCAGGGGGCAGCGTGCAGATGGAGGTAGAATGAGGAGCGTGAACAGGCAGGCAGTCAGGGAGTGCTATGGAGACACGCAGTTACATCCAGGATGTGCAACGCCGCCCCCAGGGGCCTGACCCACCTGCTCCGCAGCCGCCTGGTCCGTGCTGCTCCTGGCCCTCCGCAGCTGGGCCTTCAGGCTCTCCACCTCCTGCTGGCCGCTCCTCCGCGCCTCCTCCAGCTCCGCATCGCTGCGCTGACGCTCCGCCTGCCACTTCCTCTTCCTATCGGCCAGCGCCTGCACGTGGAGAGCCATGACAGTGACACTCTCACAAGTGTACCGTGTTTTGTTTGGTTCATCAGACTAGAATTGCATCCAATTTTGTGAATTTGTTTGTTTTTGTAAAGGGGACGTATTGCTATACTTTATGAATTAATATCTGTTTTGACACTATTTTTAAATCATATTTGCTCTCATATTAAGCATGTGATACATTATAAACAGTTATTTATTTTTTTCTCTCTTGAACCATGTGCTCTTAATTAGTATCTTTAGATTAAAATGTAAGAGGATGTAAGACAGACACCCATGAAGAAAGGATTTATGGTTATTTGTCTTGTGTTGCCTTACAATCATCTGCTCATATATCTGATGTGTAATATGACCATTACACACACACACACACACACACACACACACACACACGGATATGTAAGCTGTATGTTACTTATTTCTCTTTCTCCTGTCCCCATGTTGTCTGCTTAGTTTGACGTATTCTTGTGGTTATACGGTTTGATTTTTGATGTTTTTGATGTGGACACCTTACTATAAAGATAAAAAAAGAAACGGCGGCCATTCTCCACTCACGCGCTCCAGGCTCTCCTTCTCCACCCGCAGGTCCTGCAGCTCCTCCTCCACACTGCTCAGCTTCAGCTCCATCTCCCGCCGTTTCTGTTTCTCGCCGCGGTACTGCGTCTGTGCTCGCTCCGCCTGCTCCTTCAACTCTGCCCGAGCACATGAGGGAACCCCCCCCCCAATTCTCTGAGTCATCTCACTCCCCACCACTTAGCACAAAAAAAATCAGCCGATCCCCCATCCCCGCTCACCTTCCACCTGGCTCTCGAGCGCTGCAAGCCGCGTGCAGTGCCTCTCTCCGTCCTGCAGGGCGGCGCCCAGCTTGACCTGCAGCTCAGCGGCTTTCTGTTGCTGTGAACTGGCCTCCAGCTGCAACTGGGACACGCGTGCTGCGGACGACGCCAGCTCCTCCGTCAGACGTACCTGCACAGGGAGGAGGAGGAGGAGGAAGATGCAGATTAGGGCTCTGGGAAACCGGGAGATCACAGACACCTGTAATGTGAGAAAGAGCAGGGCAGAACGATGCAGGGGCAACAAAAATGCCGCAGGGGCAAAAAAAAAACAGCATGACCCTGTGGGAAGAACAGAGCGATGGATGATGGATAAAAGAAGATAAAGGAAATGTGAATCAGCGAGAAAAGGAGACAGTGAGGAAGAGGAGTGAAGAAGCAGAGCAGCTCACCTGCCCCCATCCCAGGTCCTGTGGCAGTGCATGCTGGGAAGAGACATCAGTCACTAACAGAGGCCCTCAGAGTCAGAGCAGGAGAAGCAGCCAGGAAACACAGACGCGTTAGTGGGAGATACAGAGTTATATACACATGATGATCAGAGGAAGAGGCAGGGAAGACAGGAAAGGACAGAATAAATACACATATGCTTTGGAAAGGAACACTTGTGTAGATATTTTACCACGTTTGAGGAACCACTGACTGTTATGCAAGTTTCTTGCATTCTCCCTGAATTTTGCCGGTGACAATGAAGCCGGATGAGACTGGATTTGTGTTTTAACCCATCACATTCAGTGAAGTTGAGCTTAACGCGGTAACATGGGCGCGGTATGGCCCCGCGCAGAGCCGCGGCATGTGCCGGCCAGCAGGGGGCATCCCGTTCCTCTCACTGGAGGAATCTGTCACGACGGGAACACCACACACACACACACACACACACACACACACACACACACACACACACACACACACACACACACACACTGCATGAACCACACATTTATGGAACCAAGAAAAAAACAAATATCCACAAAGTGCACAGTTCCCATTACTTATATACCCAAAAATGGTGTTAGGTCAGTATTTTTATGACACACTACAGGTTTTAAAAATGCCGCACATACTGGCCAGTGAACAGTTTATAATTCACATAAGCTGTGACACGAACACTCAAAACCAGAGAAGAGCAATGATGCTGTCCCACATAATCCTCAACACCACCTGCCTAATCAAAAGCAGCATTTGGCAAGACAATGAGTAAAATGACATTCCACCTCATATCACATGACCCAGTACTGTCCAATGGCAGACTGACATCAGAAATAATTAGCATGAAGGCAGGAAGTTCATGATGGTGCTCCACAGCACAGAGCTTTGGCTAAAGTGGGAGCTTCATGCAGCCCAAGTGCCCATGGCCGTGTTCCCGAGTGTGCCCGTGTACCTGAGTGCCCATGGCCGTGTTCCCGAGTGTGCCCGTGTACCTGAGTTCCCATGGCCGTGTTCCCGAGTGTGCCCGTGTACCTGAGTTCCCATGGCCGTGTTCCCGAGTGTGCCCGTGTACCTGAGTTCCCATGGCCGTGTTCCCGAGTGTGCCCGTGTACCTGAGTTCCCATGGCCGTGTTCCCGAGTGTGCCCATGTACCTGAGTGCCCATGGCCGTGTTCCCGAGTGTGCCCGTGTGCCCGTGTACCCGAGTGCCCATGGCCACGTACCCGAGTGTGGCCATGTACCCGAGTGCCCATGTCCACGTACCCGAGTGCCCATGGCCATGTACCTGAGTGTGTCCATGGCTGTGTACCCGAGTATGCCCGTGTACCTGAGTGTGCCCATATACCCGAGTGCCCATGGCTGCGTACCCAAGTGTGCCCGTATACGCGAGTGCCCATGGCCGTGTAACCATGTGCCCATGGCCGTGTCTGCAAGCGACATCTGGTTACTTGACGGTACCTTGTCCAGCTCAGCCTGCAGCATGCGGGCTTGGCTTTGCTCACTGCTAGACTTCATCGAGTCATTCCTCTGCTCCATCAGCAGGTTGCTCTGCTCCATGTACCTGCAGGGAATGGAAGAGGAGAGAGAAAGAGAGAGAGAGAGCGAGAGAGATTGAGAAAGAGGGTGGAACACAATGGCTTGTACACAGCGCCGTCTTAACTGGCCTTCAATTAAGTCAGTGGTCAAGGAATCGTCTACTAAAAAACTCCTGGAACTTGCTCATTTGTGCAACTTTAAGGGACCAACTCAAAATTGACACCCGAAGATCTAGTGACACAGGGAGCAGTTGGCAGGGGGTAGGGGGAGGGTCCCCTCACCTCTGGTTTTGGTTGATGAGCTCCCCAATCTTCCGATTCTGCTCCTCGATCTTGGAGCTCTTCTCGAACACCTCCTTCTTCAGACACTCGTTTTCCTGGATGATCCTCTGTATGTTGTGCATGATCATGGCCGTCTCCATAGAGACGTTGGACAGGCCAAGGGAAACCCCTCCCTGCTTCTGAAGGTCATCCACCTTTCAGAGGGAGAAGGGGAGCGCCTGTCACCGGAGGAACACCGAGGGAGGGAGGGAAGGAGCGAAGGAGGAGGAGGAAGGAAAACCTTCCAAAAAGGCTGACCTTGGAGGCCAGCTGGTCCACTTTATCGGCCACTTTGCCCACGGCCAGGCGGATTTCCGTGTTGTGCTGTCGGGCCTCAGTCATCAAGAAGGCAGTGATGTCGCTGGGGCCTGATGGGGGAATCGGATCAGGACAGCGTGCTCATCGCTGGAGGGTCACAGGCTACCTGGCCCTGTCAGCGGCAGTCACTTACCCTGGTACGGCACGGTCTGCGTGGTGTACATCTGGCTTACTGGCTGTAGCTGGGATGTGTTTGCAGTTGACTGGCTGTATGAGTATGGCTGTGGGACGGGAACACGGCAAAACCCAATCTTCATGTGTCATCAGCACAATGTACAGGTAGCTTTACTTAAAACGACTTAAAATTTTACAGCCTTATGCTGCTTTCCCCACTATCCTGTTACGTTAGAACAAATCAGGAAATTGAAGCTGTGACTGTCAGTATAAAGATACAGGGGCGGGGCCAAAGGGGCATTGGCCCCAGCTGAAAGCTGATTGGCCCCTGGAGTGTCCCCTCCACTGTCAATCACACATTCAAAACATATCATTGGTTAATGATAAGCTTTGCTCCCCTATATGAATCATGGCCCCATTTATGGGCTCCACCTTAAAAAAATACTAGAATCGCTACTCTACAGTAAAGAACCTGCACATTAATGGAAACCTTAACGCAAGCAAAATGCAAAATCATCAGTTGGCCAGCTGGATTAAAAACAGCATATTGAACCTATTCCCTAAGTCAATCTGGTAATCAAATTCTCTGTCCTCTTTCAAGAAACACCTGAAGACCCATCTGATCCAGGAATTCCTCCACTAGCCTGACACCACGATGTGGTCCCTGGATGCTCTTAATCTTACACCCGATTTGAATAGCTGTCTTATTAACTTCCTTCTTTGTTAGATGTGTTTCTGTAGCTTCTGCCCCAGTCCTGCTTACACCTGTACCTGGTCACTCACTGGACGCTCAGCCAAGCTGCACTTATGTCTCGTCGATTCTTTGACAGCCGTATGTCTGTAACGTGCTAATTACCTCACTTTTATGTTGCTTTGGACAAAAGCTTCTGATGAATAGAAATAAATATAATGTAAACGCTTATGCCACATAAATACCATATAGGTCTGCATGGCTTTGTAATGGGAGGGGAGGTGTTTATACAGAATGTTTAATGGGAAGTACGGCCCCCCCACCCCCACCGAGCTCGGGGTGAAAGAGGAATGGCCTGTGCAACCATTGGGAGAGGCAGCTGCCACTCACCTGGAAGGCATGAACAGAACCTGGCGGCCCTAGGTGCTGATTGGCTGTCGTCATGGAAACCGGAAGCATAGAGGCAGACGGGGCGGGTACACCTGAAGCGGGGGGAGGAACAGAAACCGTGAGTGGAATGAGTAAACACAGGAGGAAGGCATCGAGAGGAGCTCAGAGCTGCTCCTTTAAAGCCTTAAAGCTACTGTGGGTCGGACGTTAACAGCACAGCGATCACTCACCTTGAGCTGAGACTGGGGGCGTGGCCGAAATCTGCACAGGCTGGGGGGAGGGGGCAGGGGGGTGCTTTCTATCTCGAGACCCGCTGTGGTCCTGGCACAGATATCGATGGCGGCGAAGTCACACAAAACAGATAAAGGAGTAATGGTGTCCACTGACAGAACGTTCTGGAAATGTGGCAAGGCCATGCCACCTCACAGCTCCAGGGAGACTCACCTCCATCTCGGAGTCACTGGAGTCAGGCTGGGAGGGCAGGGTCCCCGTGAGGAAGGGGAGCATGGGCTGGCCCATCCTGGCCATGCGGGAGATCAGCTTGGCCTTGGTGGAGTCGGGATTCTATGGGGCCGGCGGAGGGGTGCGTGATCATGTGACCAGAGAGGGACATACAAAGTGATCATGTGACCAGAGAAAGAACTACACAAACACCGGGGACAGACAGGGATCGAAGGACAGTGGAAGGCAGTAATAATAATAAAAAAAAGACTATAATATTACTAAAAGTATTTTAATTACTCACTGCCAGCTGTTCATTCAGGGAATCGGACTTCGCCCGTAAGGGAACGTCTCTGAAAAATAATTTTCAAACCTGAAATCTGGGAATATGAGGAGGGTGGATCGGAACAGAGTCGGCCTAAGCGCTGATGGTGCTTAAGGACACCCGAAAATGGGGCGCGCCCCCCTCTAACAGCGACGGGGCCTCATACCCGTGTTTGGCTGCCACAGCACTGGGGGGCTGTGCTGTGTCCGGCCCGGTGCTGTCCACGCTGGGGGCCGGGGAGGGGGCGGCAGAGTCCCGCGACCCAGTGCTGACTCGGTCCAGCCCGGCGTCCTTGGCGAACTTCACCTGATAGCAGAAAGGCCAGGAAATCAAACGCCATTTCGATTATGTACATGTTTATTAAATAATCCACACCAGGTACCAATTAAAAATGACAACACAGATTTGAGGCCTTTACGGCCGCCCACGACGTCTCCATGCTGAGAAGCAGAATTTCCTGGTGATGTCAGAAGCCTGGCCGCCCTACCCTCCGTATCTCCGTCTCGAAGATCAGGGTGCTGTTGGCGGGAATGCGGCTGGGGACGCCCTGAGAGCCATACGCCTGTCCAGGGGGCACCACCAGGAGGCGCCGTCCACCCTTTCGCATTCCCAGCATGCCTTCCTCCCAGCCCTGAAAAGAAAGTGAGAGAGGGAAGAATGAGTGAGAGGAGGGGCAGTGCTCTCTCCCCCTCTGGCCCCCCCCCTCACCCAGCCACACACTCACCTTGATCACTTTACCAGCCCCCAGCTTCAGCCGCAGGAGTTTGTCCTTGTTTAGGTTCGAGTCGAACATCTATCAATATACATCAAGGAAAAGTAACATGCAGGTCAGTCTGGGGGGCACATCTGCACTGCACTCATATTACATGTAAGTTATTTAGCAGACACAGATATAGAAGCAGGACTGGGGGTTAAGGGCCTCGCTCAGGGGTCCTATGGTGACATCACTCTGACGACTCTGGGATTCAAACCAGTGACCTTCTGATCACAGTCACAGCATCCTAACCCACTGAGCCACACAGCACTCCCTACGGAGAAGTCGAGGCTAAGCAAATAATGTCAGTCTGATGTTTGTCTGCGGAGATGAATTCCAACATGAAAGAAGCTCCTGGTGTTTGGGATAAGACAGAAGTGGGGGAGGACTGGGAAGTGGATTCACAACCAGACACAAGAGTCACAGACACAAGAGTCACAGACACAAGAGTCACAGACACAAGAGTCACAGACACAAAGTTCCCAAAAATAAATGATACAGAACTGAAAGGACCAGCCCTTGTTGTTTGGGTTCTTCTGTTGTTTTAGTTTGGGACGGTTTGTGAGTGAGCCCTGACGGGCGCTGAATGTGCACAGCTACATGTTCCTGCACGGGCACACACTCCGCGTGCTGCGGCTAGCCCTCGCCCTACCTGTCCCACTGCATGGTTCTGGAGCAGCCACCCCGTGTATGCCACCTCCAGGGTGTCCCCGACCTCCACCCTCTGCCCCTCGCCCAGCACCAGCTCCTGTGTGACCACCGAGTCCAGAGTGGGGGTGCTGTTTGCCTTGGCCAGGCACACCTGCGTTGCACAAGAACAGAGCCATTTTAGTGCCTCGCAATCCTGACGCCTCAAGACCAGCTGAGCCATGTGGCTGCAGCAGGTCGCCTCAGGGGTACAGCAGCGGGACACAGAGGGGCAGCCGGCAGTGCTCACCCTCAGCCGCCATGCCACCTACTGGCACACCCACCTGCTTGCAGAAGTCCTCGGCTGCCTTCTCTGACTCAAACATCAGGGACCAGTTCTGACGCTGCTCATCGTAGAAGGTGCCATAGTTGCTGGGCTGGACCTGCAGAGATGGGGGGGGGGGCAGGTCTGTCATTCACCACTGGGGATAAGACAACCCCCATACATCCTGTCCTCCCCCCCCAGCTGTCACCCACTTACCGTGAACACAAAGCCCGTGTGGATCCGGGTGCTGGTCACCTGCTTCTGCTGACTGACATACAGCAAAATCTTGTACTGTGGAAGCAGACAGACAGTCAGACTCAGCTGGAGGACGACATCCACTGGCCAAGGAGAGCCACCGTCGCCACTAACTGCCCTGTTTTATAACAGACATTGTGACACTTATTAACGAGGACAATAGGAGCCGCTTTAATATACCTTGTTACACGTACACCTTTATAACATTTTACGCTTTCTTAAGACTTTTTAACAAAGTCTACACGTAAGCATCATTACTAAAAAACTTTTAAGTGGAAATTAGACCATTGCTATTCAACTATTACTAACAGGGTTTCAATTCTGATTTGCTACTGTCTAACCGAAAGTAAAAATAAAACAGCACAAATGCGTGAGCTGAGCACACTCTCACACATCGCATTGCAGCAGAGAGCCCAAACAGAACCAGCATGGACCCAAAGGTCAGGGGTCGGCTCCTCCCACCTCTCTGCTTGCATGGTGACCCAGGACCGCAGCTCCCAGCTTCCCCTGCTTCATGTACTGTCCATTCACACTGATAAGGCAGAAACACAGTCAGCCACTGTTCAGCCAATTTTAAAACTGAAAACCAATCTTTTATGATATTTTGCACTTACTACTGAAATGCATTGACGGCCGTGGCAAAAAGGACAGCAGGTGCTCCAGGGGGCGCTGTGGACTTCCCCCCTGGGGGGCCTTCAAAACAAACAGAAAGCCATTTACTGAGACCATGAAAATATGGAACACTGTGATTGGTCAGACTTTGTATGTTTTTGAACGCAATGACCAGGAGGTGGCGCCCTTTGCCTGCGGCCCTGCTTACCCGAGCCGGCAGAGCCCTTCTTGGGCTGTTTGGGAGCGGTATACTGGAAGGACTCGTTCCCCTGAGCTGTGGCCTGGTCCATTCCGAACAGAGAGGCCAGTTTCGCTCTGAAATGAGGCCCAGAGGGTGAGTGAGTTTGCGGTGAGCAAAGATCCACTGAAGGGAAGAGAGAGACTCAGCCATCATGGTTACTGACAATGACACGGTGGCTGAGCACTTAACGCAAATTTAATTTTATGCGCATTCCGTTTATAACCTGAAAGCATTTATGTGCATCACAAGTTTTCCTCAAAATATCTGGTTCGACAATAAAAACTAATTTTAACCGTTATCCTTTTTAAACAAACTTAAAAACCATCAAAATAACACCTGTTGATTTATACTCGTATATTCAGATTTGCACTGCTGCTACATCTACTTTCGATTTTAAAACGCTCACAGCATTCAAACCCATACAACCTCGTTCCTGTAATTTAACTGCATATTTTTCTTACATTTCATGTGACTGTTGTGTTACATTTGAAGACTATAAATGACCATCCACCAGGTCAAATCCCTTTTCAAAGCAAAAATTATGTTTCTGCTAAAATATTATATTGTCTAATAATATGCCCTTTTCCAAAAAAGCATCAACATAAGTTGAAGACAAAAATTTTCCGGGTGCCGATCCATAGTATGCTCTGGATTACATGATTAGACCAGAACAATACAGACCATTGAAGCTTTAATTCCACCAGCAGCAAACCACGTTTCATCCTTAAGAAGTAAACCAGGATCATTACTTTCTGATTTAAGAGCACAGAAACAGTCAACGTCACAGTAAATGTACAGAATGTTTACAACTTGCATTCAAATCAAGAAACTGCAAAGTTTTACAGTCCGACTGATAAAGTTATCATCTCTTTAGAAAAGCTCAATAAATCTGTACCACCCAGACTATAAAGCTTCTGCAATCAGCCATAAATGCCAGCTAAGAAAATGATCAGCTTTTTCTTTAAAGGTCACACATTCTAACAGAGACGCAGAGCCAGGCAGTTTTACATCCGTTTCCACAACCTGACGAGAGCACCTAGATCTGTGGAATCCTGTAACATCCCCGAAAACAGAAAAACCAAACACACTGACCCCTGGATCTCCCTCCAGAGGTAATCAGTGTCGCACACCTCAGCCATCGCGGGAAGCCCGTGTGCCAGATTCCAGCCGCCCCCAAAAGACTACAGCTAGCGACTCATGCCACAGCCATGGCAGATGCCTCAGTGTCCAGCGTGTGCCTTTCCGTTCACCACCTAGCAACCAGCGATCACATCACCACAGCAGATTCAGCAGGCATCCAAAAACGGTGGTGCTAGACAGCAGACATGGGGCAGCATCGCCAGGAGGCTGGGGGGCCCACGCCAAGGTACTCCAGCCAGCCTGTGCCACCGCTTCTCAGGGAAAACCTCCAGCCCCTCAGCGAGTTGCATGGGAAACCCACACCCTGCTCCCATAACTGTAAACAAGTGATATGAATTAGGGAGCTGACATCACCCCCACCCCCTTCGCACACACTCCACCCCACAACGCTGCTGGGAACGCTGTCGCCCTCCTTAGAAAGCTGAGAGGCAGTGCAGGGAAAATACCAGGACAGCATCACAGTGTTCAAGACAAAACCTGCGGAAAACCAAGCTGCTCTGCAGGTTTCTACAAATCTATACGGCTTCCAGTTACTGCGCTCAGGCATTTCTGGATCCATGTTCAAAAAACAAAAAACAAAGAACGAAGGAGGACTTCCATACGGAAAGTAAAATCCATAATACACACCTCAGCTTGGGTTGTAATATATGGCAATTATACAGGTATACTGACAGACATTTCAATATTACAGCACAACATATTTATGCTAATTTATTTTGTGTTTTATCCTATTTAGAGGGAAAATATATTTGTTTCAGTTATAAAACAGATGTCATACTTGCGATATTAAATACGAATATACAAAGTATTTGCAAATCACACATAAGCATAAGGGTGTGCTATATCATAAGCTTTTATGTTTTATTTCCAGCCAACCGAAAGGAAAACCATTTACCAGAAGCACAACAGGCGGCGCCTTTGCAAAAGTAATTTAAGGAAGATGGGACTTCCCCTCTGTGGAATAACGCGACGGTGTCGGATACATCGAAATACAGCCATAAAATTGAATAAACTGGAATTACCCCGCCATAACAGCTACGTACTTGGGGGGGTAAAAAAGATCTGAACACTGAAATATTCGCCCCTTTGCTCTCCCATCCTGGGTACAGCTTGCTGTGTGTTTCATCCTTGGTTTTCAGTATCCGTACCTAAGTACCGGGTTACAAATTAAACCACTGCCTGAATTAGTCAATCAGACGGTATGTCACAGACGGTATAGGTTAATATTTAACGTCACATCCATTGTAGGGTAAAGAGTATATGCCTCGGCATGTGAAATAATAATAATAATCATGATGATGATGATGATGATGACACTTCATTAGTCAAACTTCTGTTTTCGCCTGCCCCATCTTGCTATCCATGATACACAGACACATATGCAGTTGAGAGCGAGCTTGTCAGCGATGGCATAATAACGCGTCAGGTAACCCAAACAAATCAGGATTGCTGTACTGATATTGGAGATAACTCACCCTCCCGATGGCGAGAGGAAATCTCCGTCTTCATCATCCGTCGCAAACATCACCCCTCCCCGCCGAAATCTACCGCAAAGAAACGAAAAAAGGCTACTACAGTATGTTATCAAACGTGGCAATTGGCGCGCATTAATTTACAGTGTCGCCAAAGCATCCCTTCACATCAAATAGATAAAAATGGGGAGGCAAAGTTCCTCGCGATCGCAGACAGCCACACAACTTGCATCCCTCTTCCGGTGTCCGCGGTGGAAACCACATGACCCATCAGCTGATGCCGTAAAACCTGCGGTGGCGGCACTGCAATGGGCCGGGAGGCTCCGGACAGAAAGCGCAAGGAGGCCGATTCTTATCATCACACACCGCTTAATATCTACATTCAGACAGAACACATTGTTGGACGGGCTGGGGCATCCCAGTTCCCTGTACCTTTGCACAGCCTAAGCGACAACGTTACATGTGCCGTAAAGTGTTCCGGAGTGACGTGATACAGGTACTCCATAAAATGCTAATCAGCCTAGGTATCTGTCACTGTGGGTTCTGTCCCTACATTTGGGTGTCTATCAAGCAGCTGTTCCATACGCATAATTTTCAGAACATTTTTCTCAGTTCCCTTTTGTTATTTGCTCTCTGCGACTCATTTGATTCGTATATTACAGGGCTTATGTTACCTGTGTGTTGCTCACATTTTCTGAGCTGTGTCTGGTAATTAGTTGTTCTCTACACACTAAAAAGGTTAAGTTGGATTATAGGTTTGTTATCAATATGAACTGAATAATAAGTGATTTTTTTCTTGGAAGATATACAATTGTGTTTATTTCTGATATTCCTTAATGAAAAAAGGACAGCAGACTCAAGCCCTGGATCGGTTGCTGTGTTTTTCTTGGAATAGTAAATTAATAAGAATTAATACATATGTTAACTATGTATTACACAATACATATGAAGTTTAGAGTTAAGATAATTTTAAAGCATAACATACATAAACGTGAAATCATCGTCACGAATAATGCAAGTCATAATATTTAATAACATCTTCTAATGTATATTCAGATTGCTTATAATCACAACTATACAAGCAAAGTTGCTCGTTTTTTTTAATCATTATTTTTTGGCCGACTTTTATTTTGAAAAGCCAAACCCGGAAACGGACCATAGATATTAAAAGAGCCGGAAATCGTTATTTTAAACATAAGCGAAGCTTTACGTCAAGCCTATTCCTTTCCGGTTCATACTTTGGTGAGTTGAAAAGAAGCTTCTCAAAAATGAAATAAGCTTATGTGCAGATAGAAGCTTTTTGTCAGTGAAACATGTGGTTAATGCTAGTTTTTTTTCACGAAAGAGATGTATTTTTACTCCTCGGGTCTCTTACATGGTAGTTTAATAAGAATGAGAGAACTGTCACATTAGCAACGATTCAACTGGTGAGCGTTTTGTAGTAATTAGGGATTTTAAATATGACATATGAGAGTGCAAATATTTTACATATTCCAAGTCTTTAGGGAAGTACATTTGCGTTTTGTGTTTGATGTTGCTGAAAGAAGCAGGGATACATCAAGTGTTGTCTTGTGCTTGTCTGCCGCGGATTTTCCCGATGATAAATCTGCACTATTATTTATTTATTCGGACAGTTAATCAGAGAACCTTGCATTGATCTTCGATGATCATTCTGATCAGTAGTGTTTTTTTGCGTGTTTTATTGTCTATTATGGTGGCTGTAAGTGGCAGACCACGCCCAGTCCTTAACGGCACGTGAACGTAGTACACGGAGGGGGAGATGCTTACGGTTAGGGTTAACGCTTTGCAAATATATGAATGTTCCCGCTTTGGGTCCCATGAAGGCACATCGCTTTAGGCCCTCAACCCAAACCAATCCAATCACGTTCCAAATATTTTTGGTGCCCTGTCCCTCAGGGGCCCTTGTAATCGATCTCACCCTCTCACACCCCCCTATCCTTCAGGGTGGTGAGTTGAAAGCTCATTGACATCCTTAGAGCTGGATGATTGGACTATAGTAACACACTCCTAACTCTGTTTTTTCAGGTTGCTGTCTTCATCCACCATGCAAATGTGTAAACCCAGACCATCCATGTTGTCTCCCCATGTTATTTCCAATGTTCTCACCCTGGCTTGGTGCCAAATGCACATTTGTGACCCAGTGAAAACAAACAGTGAAAACAAACATGCAGGCTGTGACAAAACTTTTAAAGGGCCCTCAGAAAAGGAGGTTGTAGTCAGATGAAATGAAATGGACCGACGGTGTGTCTCCCAGTCCCTGCGGTTCTGGAGCAGTAATTCTGTGCAGACGGCTTTCTTCACTAATTCTAATTGTTATTAAACTTCTCTCCCAGGCGTTTGAGTGGAATTTAAAAATAGAGCGGGGTTAAGATCTATCTTTCTGAAGCAGAAGGCTGAGCTGGGAACCATGTCGCTCACAAATGAAGCGTGTGTTCATGTGATCCGCACAGTGGTGCGACATGACCCTTTGACATTGGTGGGCCTAAATCTGCTTTGGTTTAAAAACTGCTCCAAGCTACTGGTGAAGAACAAATAATTTGCTTCCACAGAGCCATTCAAATATGAATATTTTTCTTATTTGAGTTTGAATATTATTCAAATATGGATACATATTTTTGCCATTTATAGTTAACATTTGTAATTTTGGATGAACAACCTAAAAAGTCATGCATGACTAATTTCATGAGGTGCCTTGTGCCCATAGCCTCTGGGATAGCCTCTGGGATAGGCTCTGGGATAGCCTCTGTATATAGCCTCTGGGATAGGCTCTGGACCTCCCATGACCCTGAATAGGATAATTTGGTACGATGGATGGATGGATGGGTTACAGAAAATGGATGGATACTCATGAGCTACTTTTCTGAAATTGTAAATGCTGCTTCTCACCATCCCCTGTCTTTCCTCCTAGCATCTGGGGGCTGGACTGAGTGGCAGATGAACGGAGAACATGCCCTTTCTACATGGGTTCCGCAGGATTGTCTACGAGTACCAGCCCTTGGTGGATGCTGTGATGTACGTGGTGGGGATTGAGGAAGAGGAGGAAGTCGCAGAGAGGTGAGGGTAGATCAGGTGACCTTCCCGCAGCCCCCTGAGAGCTTTGCATGTGGTTCTAGATGGACTGGATGCTAAACCACTTGATGCTGTGACTGATTGATCTGGGGTGTTGACTGTCAGTTTGGAGGCTGCTGTGTGGCTTGGGCGCAGTGATTGTGATCAGAAGGTTGCTGGTTCAAATCCCGCAGTCGGCAGAGTGATTACATTGTGAGGTCCTTGAGCAGGGTCCTTAAGCCTCTGTTGCCTGACCCAGCTTTGTCGCTTTAGATCAGGGGTCTCCAACTCCGGTCCTGGAGAGCTACTATCCAGTAGGTTTTCTGTCCCACTTGGCTTCTGATGAGCCACAGCTGTTCCTGGTAGTTACCTGAGAACAGGTGTGGCTCATCAGAAGCCGGGTATGATAGAAAACCTCCTGGACGGTAGCTCTCCAGGACCGGAGTTGGAGACCCCTGCTTTAGATAAAAGCGTTGGTTAAATGAAAAAATGTGCATGGTGGCAGGAACTCAGAGGGCGAGGGTGTCCTGGTGGAGCTGCTGGAGAAGGAAGCGGAGTCAGCCGTGTTCGAGGAGGGGATCAGCTACGCACTGCTGAAAGTTACGGAGCGGGGACTCGCCTCCCCTGCCGAGATCCTGCTGCGCCATGGCGCCGACCTGAACTTCGAGGGTGAGGACCGAGAGCCTGCATCTGCAGGTCTCCTCTTTATACATCTACATGTATGGTTTTTATTTGCACATTTTCATTTCTGCTTCTATTTTTATTCAGTTTATAGTTTTTTTTGTACTTTTCTCTTGATTGTGTATTTGTTTGGACACCTCATGCCCCCCAGCGCCATAACAAATTCCTTGTACTTTTCATACTTGGCAGATAAAGGGATTCTGACTCTGAGACGAGCAGCATCTTGTCTTATTCTCTGTCAATTTTTCTCGCTCGATCCAAGATCCCGTGTCCTACTACACGGCCCTGCATGTCGCCGTGCTGAAGAATCGGCCGCGGATGGTGCAGCTGCTGGCACGCAATGGGGCGGACCTCAACAGGCGTGATCGGGTAAGTCCAACGAGGCCAGCTCTGTCCTGTCCTCCCCTGTCCTGCGGTGCTGGGTGACAAGTGGTATCTTTGCGAGCAGATCCACGAGAGCAGCCCGCTGGACCTGGCCAGCGAGGAGCTGGAGAGACTGCCCTGCCTGCGAATGCTCCTCGACTTGGGTGCCGACGTAAATGCCAGGGACAGGAATGGTACCGTCAGACATGCCCTGGCCGGCCAACTCCCATGTGGAGACAAGAGCTTCGCGGTTTCCTTCATCTTTTTCTTGTCTTCCTCACTTGGCAGGAAAGACTGCCCTGCTTCACGCTCTGGCCAGCAGTGACGGACTCACGGTCCGCAACACTGACAATATTCAGCTACTGCTTGAGAAAGGTAGACCAGATGGTTGGGTAGTTTTCCCAGAATCCTTTGGTGTCGGTGTTCCTGATTTTTTTTTTGACTTGTACTTCCTTACCCATCTCCCTCTGGCCTCTTGAAGGCGCTGATGTGCGAGCCACCACACAAGACGGGGAGACGGCCGTGTCCTCGCTTGTTTTCCTGGTGAAGGAGGCTTTGGAAGGCACTGAGGAGGACGCATCTGAGATCGGCCGCTTCTGCCTGGCTGTTGCTAGGCTACTGCTGGTTCACGGCGCCGACCCCAGCTGCTGCCTCACGCCTGGCGACATGGGGCCTGAGCCTGGTGAGGAGGTGGGTGAACCCTCGCTCACCCAAACCTGCCTGGAGTACTTTGACTTGCTCTTTCCCCTGGCTGTGCTGCTGCTGGAGCGAGGTGGCCCTTTTCTTTGCACCCGCCACAGTGCCCCCTGCTGGACGGGGCACGGGCTCATTTTTGGCAGACTGGGCTCGGCCCTTGCAGGCAGCCAGGACCCGGTGCTGGAGGCTGAGCTCCTGACCAAAGCAGAGCTCCTCCTGGACCTGGCATTGGCATCATCACCGCACCTCCCTCTTCCCCCGAGAGCGGACCTCCGCCACTTCGAACGAGACCCCCGCCTCCAGGGGCTGCTGTTCCTACACGGGAGCCCGCCACGGGATCAGGATGCAGCCCCCCCCCAGCTGCGCTGCCTCTGTCGGGCCGCCATCCGCCGCTGCCTCGGACCATGGCACCTGCAGAGCAAGGCGCAGGCCCTGCCTCTGCCAGACAGCCTGAAGAGGTATCTGCTTCCTGCCCACAAGCACTGCTCTGAGCTCAGCCCGGACTGCTTCAAGCCGCACCGCACGCTGCGCTGATTCACACGCCTGCCACTAGGGGCGGCATGCACCAAGCGTGTCTGCACAGGGACAGTTAACGAGGAAATTTCCATGGCCAAGAAGCATTTTGAAATGTAGCCTCTAAAAACATCTTGTATCAAACTGGTGATGTTTCAGAACCATGCCAACTCGTTTGTGGGATCACCTGTTCATTCTGACATTTGTGAACAGTGACATGCAGGTAAACATTTTAAACCAGCTGAACTTGAAGCACTTGTGTGCGCTTTGGGGGAATCCCAGCTGAGACATTGTTTGCGTCACATATACCTTCATGATCAAAGGTGAAAGCTTGTAGCTGTACATTATTGTGGTGAAGCAGTGTTTCAGTGTAACAATAAAGTTCTTATGATCCAGACATCTGTTCTTATTTATAACTTTAACCCATCATCTAAACGGCGCTAAGTATGTGTCCTTCATGAGACTCTGACCATGAAAGATACTGTTTCTGGCTTCCAGTCGCTCCGTTGACTTCACTGGCTGTATCACCTGAGCTTCAGTGTTGCTGCACTCTCCTCGTCTCTGCTGAGTGTGCTGTGCCAGCCTCCCGCCCTCTTCACCGCCTCCGCGACTCTCCCCAGCCCTCTTCTCATATCACGCGGAGCTGTTGACAATCTGCCCAAGTGGTTTAATGGTGATCTTGCTGTTTCATTTACCCATATAATGTGAGTTGGTATGTTGTGCTGTCAGTCAGGAGCATCCACCCTTGGGCCTCTGCTATAACTGGAGCATTTGTTGCCGTAGAAACATCTTTGAGGCGTCCTGTGTCTGATCTGCCAGTCAGCTCTGCAGTTGCTGTTTTTATAGCTTGGAGAAAGTGAAACACCCTCCCCTCTTTCCCGCTCCTCCACTCATCCCCTGTCATTCTTCATTCTCTCTCTTTTGCCATTCGTCTCCCTCCCTCCCCATCGCCCTGCACTTCTTCTCATCATCCCTGCATCCTTCCCCTCCAGCCCCTTGCACATTAGCTTGTTCTCCATCATAATAACCTTCATCTCCACCCACCATCACTCTGCCTAAAGACGGTGTGTGAATCTGAGTGTTTCCGAAAGGAGAAGCGTTTAGTTAAAGGTTACCGTTTATTAATTATCGATCATTTTAAATGGTTATTGAGTAGCTGTGTGTGGGCCCATGAAGGAGAGTGATGACTGGCTGTGCAGCAAAGTTTATTTACTACACTCTCTGGGAAAAAAAACTACCAATTTGTACTTTTGAGGGTTCAATTACCGTACTTGTTACTGGGGCCTTGTACCCTCAAGGGCCTGACAGTTGTACCCTTAGCTGTAGTTTTGTACCATTGGTGGTACATTAATGTTGTTTGTAACTTGGGTACAAAACTGTACCAGGGCTGTGCTCTTTATTCTGAAAGTGAGGTCATTTAATTGGTTTGTATGAAACTGTAAAAAAAAAATTGCCAGTAAGTTATCAGATACCGAAACTTAATGCTGTAGCAGAAAATAATGGTCACAAAGGGATAATTTACTCCTGTTTATTTTCAACTTGGTGAATTTTAAACAAATATGCAAATATATTTAATATTAAATAAGGAATATTGCATATTTTGTAATTGTTTTTAAAAATCGCAACAAAACTAAGTACTTGTGTAAGTTATATCTTTTGCAAGGAATTAATTTCTATATCGCAGTTGCTGCAATTTTGAAAACTTAACAGCAGATGGCAGCTTTGTGTCATGGAAATACAAAGACGGCAACTCGACGTGAACATGAGCGCTGTGAGGTTTAAGATACTCCAGTACTTTCCTTCCTTACTTAGATCAGACTGAATCGTTACTCACTACTAATCCACGTGTAGCTCCTGTTAATTTGCAACTGCACAGATCCTTTAACTCCCCTATATTTGTGCCAGCTAAAGGTGAAATGAGTCGTCATAACTCCATTTGGTCCATTTATATGTTATATTTTCCACTGCCGCTGAGAACAGAGCAGGCAGCAGCGTCTTCCCCGAGCTCAGGGCATGGGGCAGCGATACTGGGTGGGTCCTCCGTCCATCACAAAGCATTGGGGCAAGTTAAAGACGCAAAGACATTTTTGGATGGCAAACAGAAGCTGAATCCAAGAGAACATGGAAGCTGCACCCATGCAGAATCAGGGTGGGAATCGATGGTAAGTTATGGCAGAGGTGGGTAGCTCAGGTCCAGAGAGTAAAAATCCAGAATCCAAGATTTTGTTTTAATCAACCAGTTGAGTATAAAGAGTCACAGTCAGAGTACTCAACTGATTGTATGAAACAAAATCCTTATCTGGACTTTTACTTTCTGAACCTGAACTACCCACCCCTGGCTTGTTGTGTCCATGTCCATAATGTGCAGCACTTTAAAGGAACCAAGGCACAGTCAATCAAGGGTCCATCGGTGCTGGAGATTCATGTTAGACATTTTTTGTAATGTCATCAGACCACAAAAGTGAGATACTTTTGAGAGAAACGATATGGCAAACAGGGGCGGCCTGCCTTTCAGTCTGGGGGGAGGTGGTTGATATCGGGAGCAAACAGATGGACACCTGACCCAGCAGCCAGACCCGTTGCCCGGCCCAGACCCGCCCTCTCAGCCAGGGAAGCGGCACCGAGAACTGCGAGCCCATCCAAAACAGCTGCGGACGGTGGGACCTCCCAGCCAGGCAGATGGCGCAAGGAGACAGGACACTCAAACACAGTGGAGGAGTCACTCAGTTTCATTAGGATGCAGCCCCAGGCTCAGGTCACTGTTTTCCTGGAGAGTGGGTCACTACTGCCCCCTGGAGGGCAAGACTAGAGTTGCAGCCGGTGCAGCATTTTCTGCTTGGCCATCTTTGGTCTCAATCGCTGCCTTAGGAGGTTAAACAGGACAGCCTGGTATAGATGAGCTCACCCCACGGCGGCTTGTCAACTCCACCCAAGTGGACTGGGCCACCCCACCCCATTCATGCCAGCTGCCTGGCTTTGTTGTCCCCCCCCTGGCCCAAGCATGGCGCTCAGGGACTCTGGGTTCATCCTTTCTATGTCAGAACCCTGATGCGGAACCCGCTCCCCTATGCCTGCCCCGATTACACCTACCGCACTCTGATGATACCCCGGGTATCGGTAATTACCATTTACCAGTATTCAACAATGATATTTATAGCGTATTAACTCAAATGGAAAAGGGAATTTTTATAAGAAATGTGTAAATATAGGTGCTTGCAGGAGTCTTCATTTCAAACGGACAGCTCTGGGTGGTGCTCTCACTGTCCACCCAAGCAGCACCATGTCTGACCCCCACCTTTCACCTTGGGGGCGGGGGGCAACTTGCAAGACGGAGGGCGAAGTCTTTGCAGCCACTGCGACCTTCACCAGGAATCATGCTGTGAAGGTGAAGCTCCAGGAGATGCTGATACCATTGACTGCATAGGAACACGACGGCTGATGGCTAACAGCAGCCTGCATGCTTCCCAGAATATTCCTGGTTTCAGCTTTGGGAAAATACTGAGGCCCAAGCACTTAAACACGGTTTGAGATGCTGGAATCACTGAAGCACCTTCCCCAGAGACTGTGTGGCGAGTCCCTGAGCTCGAACCGGCAACCACTGGAATCCCTGCCTTTAGCCCCATGGCAGGTAATAAGCGAGAAACACTGTGTGCTGCTGACGAGGAAATACCTGCATCTGAGTTGTGCTTCTTTCTGCCGGATTGAAGGTTTAAAGCATTTCGAAGGTCCACTTAATAGGGGGGGGGGGCACAAGGAAGAGGGAAGAGCCCAGCAAGAGAAAAAGAAAGACAAAGAGAAGGAGTGGAAAAAGGAGAAAGGATTGTTTGGAATGCTGAGATGAGTGGAGAGCTCTCTCCATCTGGTTTTCCTTTGTGGTTGTGTGTGATTCTAGGCTCTCGCCTTATTTGAGGGGTGTACATGCTTTTTTTGAGGGGGGGGTGTTCTTTGCGTAGCACATGACTCTTTTGGGGGGGGGGTGTCTTTCTTTTGGGAGTTTGACTTTCATCCATGGGTGTGCCCCTCTTTGGAGGGGGTGACTGTTCTGCATGGTTTCCTTTTGGGGTTGGTAGGATGGAGTGATTTTCAGCCCTGGGTAAGCCTCTCTTTCGGGGGGTGTGCCCCCCCCCCCTTCCAGGGGTGCTCGTCTTCCCAGGACGGTGATTCTTTTGTCCGCCAGCACACACTGCGGGGGATGCAGCTGGCCGGCCAGATCGCAGTCAGACTGCTGCAGCACGGCGCAGGGGCGGCTGCCGGGACCTCTGGCGACCAGCGCGCTTTAAAATGCATGGCCTGCATTTCATGAATATTTTAGCTAGGCAAACTTGCCTGGCAGAGCAGAAGCCGGATGGAGCAGAGCACTGCTCTTAGCTGTTAGCGCGCAACACAGTGCCAGCTACAGCGGCAGATAATCAGAGCAGAGTCGACTCGGAAATACATTTCTCTCATTAATAAAATGCTGTAGAGTGTTCTGCCACACCTCAAGTATACTTTCTCGGGAGAGTCGCTGAATATCAGCCTTTGTCCTGTTTACATTTATTGTATATTTCATGGATCACACAGGACCCCAGTTTAATCTAATTTTTTATTTCCCACTGAAGAGTCTGCACGTGTTCTGTGTGCAGCATGCTAATGCTGACAGGCATGCTGAGAGCTGGGCGTTTCTAGCATTCTCTGTCCGGGCGCCTCAACAGCCCCACCTTCTGGTCAGCAGTTGCTAATACAGGCTCAGCTGCTGGAATGAAACGGGCCGCAGCTAGTTCTCAGACAGCGGCTATGCGGGCCTCCTGCTGAGCCTGTCTCTGTGTTTCAAATGCGTGTTTGACTTTGCAAAAACTTACGGAAATGATCTACTTTTTCATACATTAAGAGAAAAGTATCTAAATGATTTGTGATAATTGTTGTTCAACCTTTGTTTTTTAACAGAGATTTGCAAATGCTCACTTATTCCACAAGCTTGGTTTACCAGTGTCTTGGTGCATTCCTTTTGAACTGGAAAGTCAGAATTTCTCAGTTACTAATCAGGAACTGGAACACCCCCTGAAGTCAGAGTTCCAACTTGGAAAGTTGGAGGAACCGCTGCAACCTCGACCTTGGCTAGGATAGGAGATGGCTGCACCCTTCATCCATAGAAGTGAAAACTGTAGTTATATATTGTTTATTAGCATTTAAAGTTTATTTGTGGCTCATTAAATTGGTCATACACACAGTACTGTTCAACTGCTATCTGTGGACATGTTTGTTTGTATGTGCAAAGAACGTGTAATGAAAGAATGTTGCATTTATACTGCACCTTTTCAAGACACCCAACGGCAGCCATTCTGCACCAGTACGCTCACCACACAGTAGCTAAGGTGGTGAAGGGGCAGGAGAGAATTCACCAGTTAGATATAGGGAATG